AAAAAGAAACAAAAAAAAGGAATAGCATCCCATCCCACTGTTATAGCGCCCCACTTTCTCAGGGTAATTCTACAAACCACCCCTCAAATTCGCACGCACTTGGACACAGCAGCCGCGCCTGTCTCTCCTCCAGCCTCCTCTCCCTCGGGACCGTCGTTGCGAGACATCCCGGTAAGGGGTGCAACAAGGAAACAAGAATCACTTCAGCGTTTCAACTCACTTGGACACAGCAGCGGCGCCTGTCTCTCCTCCAACCCCGTCTCCCTCGGGACCGTTGTCATGGGACAGGCCGGCTACCAGCCTCTGGCCCATCTCCCCTGGGTCCCTCGGAACAAGTGTGTGTGAGGCTCCAGAGTGCACAGCACAAACAAGGAAGACAAGGGACGGGACTCACTTGGACACAGCAGCCGCGCCTGTCTCTCCTCCAACCTCCTCTCCCTCGGGACCGTCGTTACGAGACAGGCTGGCCACCACTCGTTGCACGTACGCCTCCACCTCCTCCTCGCTCATACCCTGAGGGATGGAGAAAGAAAGGGGGGTTTGGAGAGGAGTGGGGAGGAAGGGAGTCGGGGGGGGCCCGAGGGCGGAACATGAAAAACCTGCCGACCGTTTCCGCAAATACTCCTCCCTCCATCTTCTCATCTCACTCAGTACGAGCTCAGCATATCAGAGGTCATCTCGTACATATCCTCACTCTCTCCCTCCCCACACTCTCGTTCTCCTCCTCCTCCTCTCCTCCTCCCCTCACATACCATCCATATTATCAGTGCTCGCCCGCCCACCACTCTCACCTTCTCCCTGGCCTCAGCAGCAGCGGCCACTGCAGCCTCTTCCACCTCTTGAACACTCTTTGTCACCTTCTAGTCGACTTAAAAGCAAGTACCCCCCACCCACCCCACTTCTGTCTCTCACCTTCTCCCTGGCCTCAGCAGCAGCGGCCACTGCAGCCTCTTCCACCTCTTGAACACTCTTTGTCACCTTCTAGTCGACTTAAAAGCAAGTACCCCCCACCCACCCCACTTCTGTCTCTCACCTTCTCCCTGGCCTCAGCAGCAGCGGCCACTGCAGCCTCTTCCACCTCTTGAACACTCTTTGTCACCTTCTAGTCGACTTAAAAGCAAGTACCCCCCACCCACCCCACTTCTGTCTCTCACCTTCTCCCTGGCCTCAGCAGCAGCGGCCACAGCAGCCTCTTCCACCTCTTGAACACTCTTATCCGCACAGATCTTCCCCCCAAGCTTGCACAAACCTAAAATCTGACTGAACCCTACTCAAGACAAGCTGAGCATTTCAAGCCTGACAGAGCCTTCATTCATGGCCCACCCCGCCCGCTCACCTTCTCCCTGGCTTCGGCAGCAGCAGCAACAGCAGCCTCTTCCACCTCTTGAACGCTCTTAGCCGCACAGATCTTCCCCCCCAGCTTCCGCAAATACTCCTCCGTCTGGCTCAAAAACGAGCTCAGCATTTCAAACCTCTCCTTCGCACCCTTCCCAACCCCGGCCTTCTCCTTTTCCTCCTCCAGCATAGCCCGATAAGCCTCCATGTCGTTACTCTTAAGTAACATCTCCACCCGCTTCTGCCGCTCCTCCTCTCGCCGCCTCGCCGCCTCCCGCGCCGCCTGCTCGTGGAACCTCACTACGTGCCGGTTCCGCGCCGCCCGCCCGTCGCGCGCCGCCAACTGGCGGTCGGCGAGGATCTGCCGCCGGGCGGCGAAGACGGCCTTGAGCAGCCGGTCGCGGGCGGCGCGGCGCGTCACGGCGTGCGACTTGGCGATTTCGGCCCGTTGCCGGTGGGCCCAGCGCAGGAAGGAGCGGTAGGGGCGGTCGGGCATGGCTTGAATCTCTTGCTCCTCTGCAACTAATTCTCTCCTCACCTTGGCCTACACAAGACAAGTGTTTTGTGGAGGGGTGGAAGGGAAGCAGGGGGAAGGAAGAGCGGGGAGGCAGCATTGGCGTGGCAAAGCAAGGCAACCACACCAACCACAAAACAGGAAGGAGCGGAATGGGCGGTCGGGCATATCTTGAATCTCCTGCTCCTCTGCTACCAGATTCCTCCCAAGCACAAACTGAAAACCACCTGATCACACAGCACCTGGGCACCTGAAAACACACCTGAAAGTCGGCAAGTCGCAGCATCTTCTGATGAATCCGAAGCTTGAGACGATCCCTGGGCGTCAGCACCACCCCAGACGACGCATCACCAGCACCAGCGGCACCACCGTCATTCCCTCCCTCTTTCTCCACGCTGTCCCCTCCAACCTCCTCCCCTCGCTCCTCCCGCTCATCCTCCCCTCCTGTCAGTGGCAGCAGCGGGGGCAGGTCTTTGTCAGGCATGACACTCGGTGCAGCAGCAAGGGGAGGAGTTGAATCACTCGAAGTGAGAAATACAGCACCCGAAGCAGCAGGGAGGGGACCTAAATCAGCAGCCGAGGGGGTATTATCCTCCCCCAACAGTCGAGCAATCTCCCTCAGCCGAGCCTCCCTGTTCGCCCGCACCATCCGCCCCACCTCCTCCCGAACCAGCCCCTGCAGGTTCGTGCCGAACCGCACCTGCCGCAGCGCCGCCCGAACCTCCTGCTGGCTCATTCGCGCTATCGCCTCGGCCACCCTCGCTTTCTGACTCGACTCATAAGCCGCACGCACCCCTGTCCCTCCTGCTTCTCCCGCTGCTCCTCCTCCTGCTGCCCCTCCCATCTCTCCAATTCCTCCTCCTCCTCCATCTCCTCCCTGGTCTTCTCCTGTCCCTCCTCCTCCCATTCCATCCACCTCCTCTACAGCAGAACCCACAACTATCTCCTCAGCTGCTGTTCCTCCAACCCTCCCCGGCCTGCCTTCCTTACCTTCCACTGCAGCACGAATCAGATCCCCAAAACCTCCCACCTCTCTCCCACCACCCACCCCAGCCGACCCTGCTCCAGAACTCCCTCCAAACCCCCCTGAAGCACCCCCAGCAGCAACCCCCCCTGCTGCTGCGCCCTCCCCAGCAGCATCCCCCATCCCCCCTGCAACACCTTCAGCTATTGCAGCTTGAATAAGGGCTCTAAACCCTAGCGCCTCCCCAGCAGCAGCCACTACCGCGCCAGCAATGGCTGCAGGAGAGGGGGGCGGTGGGGGCGTTGGCGGCTTGGCCACAGCCGCAGCTCGGGCGGGACCTCCTGCCGCGCCTCCGCCCGGGCCTCTTGCCGAACCTGCTGCTGCGCCTGCAGCAGCAGCAGAAGCAGGCTGGGTTGAGGCTGAACATTTCAAAGGAGCTACTGCTGCTGCTACCGCTGCTGGCCCTGCTCCTGCTGCTCCTGCTGCTCCTGCTGCTCCTGCAGCTCCTGCTGCTCCTGCTGCTCCTGCTGCTACTGCAGCTGCTGCTGCTCCTCCCTTTGCCGCAGACCCCTTTCGGACCTCCCCTAGCCTGCCACCTGCTAGGATCGCCACAGCAGCAGCATCAGCAGCCGCAGAAGCAGCAGCAGCCGCAGCCGCAGCCGCAGGACCCTTGAGCAGCACGGCTTCAGCCTGCTGCTGCCTCAATGTAGCTTTCGAGGAAATCAGGCCAGCAGCAGCAGCAGCACTTCCGGTAATTGAACCAGGTTGTGCTAGCGCATTCGGCCCTGCACCTGTGGCAGTGGCACCTGCTGTTCCCGCTGCTCCCGCTGCTACTGCTGATGCGGCAGCTGCGGTTGCAGCAGCAAGCCCCTTCATCTGAGCAATGGTCTGTGCCTGCTGCATCTGCTGCTGCTGCTTCTGCTGCTGCATACCTGAAGTGGCCGCAGCAGCAAGCCCTTGGGAACTCCGTGCCTGCGATCCCACCTGCTTCTCCCCCCCTTTCCTCTTCCCCTTCCCCTTCCCTTCCCCCTCCCCTCCCCCAGCCTGCTCCTGCTTCTCCCCACCTTCCTCCCCCTCCTTCCTCCTCCGCTCCTCCTCTTCCTTCTGCTTTCTCTCCCGCTCCTGCTGCTGCAGCAGCAGCCTCTGTTCCCTAAGCTCCTTCCTCCTCCTCTTCTTCGCATCAGCTTTCCGCTGCTTCCTCTCCTCATCTGTTAGAAGTACCCGCCCTCCCCTCCCAATCACCCTACCTGCAGCAGCAGCAGCAGTGGTAGCAACAGCAGCGCCAGCTGTAGCAGCAGCACCAGCTGGAACAGCAGAACCAGCTGTAGCAGCAGCAGCAGGAGCGGTAGCCGTGCCAGCGGCTGCAGCTGCAGCAGAGACGGCAGAAGGAGCAGCAGCAGGAAGAGAGGCCGAAACGGGAGCAGTGGCAGCTGAAGCTGCAGCTGCAGCAGCAGCAGCAGGTGCAACGGCGGCTGCTTGTGCCTGAACAGCCTTCTGCCGCTGCTTCTGCTGCTGCTGCTGCTGCTGCTGCTGCTGCTGCTGCTGCTGCTGCTGCTGCTGCTTCCGCTGTGTTGTCTGCTGCATCAATGCACCAGCTGCAGAAACAGCACCAGCAGCAGCAGATGTAGCTCCAACAGTAGCAGGAGCACCAGCAGGCCCAGCCTTCACACCTGGCAATCCACCGCCTACTGTCATCCCCTTCACAGCAGCAGCTCCTGCTGCTCCCACGCTCTTTACACCCATGCCAGCAGCAGCACTACCAGCAGCACCAACAGCACTGCCAGCAGCACCATCACCTGAACTTGCAGGAATTACAGCTGCAGAAGCAGCAGCGGCAGCAGCAGCAGCAGTAGAAGCTGCAGCAGTGGCGGCAGGCTGTGCGCGTCTAAGGTTGGGTGGCAGCGGAGGAGGAGTGATAGAGTTGAGAATCTCTGGGGGAAGCTGCAGGTCCCCACGCTGCAAGCGAAGAGCAGGAAAAGGGGGAAGATGAGGTGGGAAAACGGTTGGGGACACAGTTGGGGAAATATTTGGGAAAAACGTTGAGGAAAAAGGCGGAAGGAGGGGGTGAGAAAGTGAACTGGTGGTGGTTAGTGCCTACAGACAGCACAGCAGCACCACAGTAACCCACGTTTTGAGGATTCCCAAAACTGGAATGGATGCCTAATTGTCACGGCATCTCGCCACAGCCCACACAAAGCATACCTTGAGGCGCCTGAAAGCGAAAATCTGCGCACGCAGGACGGTCAGCTGAGCCTTGGTGAACCCGTTGGGTTGCACTTGACTCGCCTCGTCCTCTTGCTCCTTCCTTGATGCTTCCTGCTGCTGCTGAGGTGGTTGCTGTTGCTGTTCTTTCTTTCCTTTCTCCTGCTGCTGCTGCTGCTGCTGCTGCTGCTGCTGTCTCTTCCTCTGCCTCTCGGTTTGCTTCCTCTTTGCCTGGGCTTTCTTGCCTGTTTGCTCGGACACTTGCTGCTGCTGCGACTCTTGCAACTGCTGCTGCTGCTGCTGTTGCTGCTGTTGCTGCGAATCTTGCTGCTGCTGCTGCTGCTGCTGTCGCTGCTGCTGTTGCTGTTGCTGCAATTGCTGCTGTAATTGCCGCTGCTGCAGCTGCTGCAAACCCTGCTGCTGCTGTTGTTGCTGTTGCTGTTGCTGCTGCTGCTGTTGCTGCTGCTGCTCCTGCTGCTGCTGTTGCTCCTGCTGCTGTTGCTGCTGCCTCAATTGTTGACGACGTTGCTGCAGCAGCAAAATCTGCTGCTGTTGCTGATACTGCTGCTGCTGTTGCTGTTGCTGCTGGTGTTGCTGTTCCTGTTGCTGTTGCTGTTGCTGTTGCTGTTGCTGCTGTTGCTGTTGCTGATACTGTTGCTGCTGTTGCTGTTGCTGCTGCTGTTGCTGCTGCTGTTGCTGTTGCTGCTGCTGTTGCTGTTGCTGTTGCTGTTGCTGTTGCTGTTGCTGCTGTTGCTGATACTGTTGCTGCTGCTGCTGTTGTTGCTGCTGCTGTTGCTGTTGCTGCTGCTGCTGCTTTTGCTGTTGCTGTTGCTGTTGCTGTTGCTGTTGCTTTTGTTGCTGTTGCTGTTGCTGTTGCTGCTGTTGCTGCTGTTGCTGCCTCTGTTGTTGCTGTTGTTGTTGCTGCTGCAGCAGCAGTTTCTGTTGCTGTTGCTGTTGTTGAAACTGCTGCTGCATCTGTTGCATTTGTCTCTGCCTCTGAATCTGTAACAAAAGCTGCTGCTGCTGCTGCTGCGGCCCCTGTAACCCCCCCTGCGCCCCCTGCACTCCCGCTTGCACGCCCCCCCGCGCCCCTTGCACGCCCCCCTGCGCCCCCTGCGCCCCGTGTACTCCCCCTTGCGCCCCTTGTACTCCCCCCTGCGCCGCTGGCGCTCCCCCTTGCGCGGAGGCCATCATCCTCCCGCCAGAGGCAGCAGCCTGCTGCGCCAGCACCCATCCCGCCTGCCCCACTCCGCCCTGCCCCACTCCGCCTTGCCCCACACCGCCCGCGCCCTGCCCCACTCCGCCCTGCCCCATCCCGCCCTGCCCACCGCCCCCGCCCTGCCCCCCCATGCCACCCTGCCCCATACCGCCCTGCCCAACACCGCCCATGATGATCCTACCAGCACCAGCCGTTCCAGCAGGCCCGGCCGGACCAGCAGCCCCGGCCGTAGCACCAGTGGGTTTAACAGCAGCCGACGAAGCAGCGACACCTGCTACTGATACACCTCCCCCAAGTGCGCCAGTGCTTGCTGTAGCTGCCGCTGCCGCTGTGCTTGTAGCAGCAGAAACGGCAGCACCAGCGGCTGCTGCTACAGCACCTGCAGCAGCAGCAGTTGCGGCACTAGTAGCAGTAGGTGCGGGTGTTTTGGAGACAGCAACAGCAGCACCAGCACCAGCACCAGCACCAGCACCAGCACCAGCAGCAGCAGCAGAAGCATTGGCTGAGCCAGCACCCCTTGCAACTGCTCCTCCTCCTGCTCCCACTGCTCCCCTTACTGCTGCTCGTGCTCCCATGGTCCCTGCTATCCTTCCTGCCTTGGCAAGTGGGGTAATAGGTTGGATAGAAGCTGCACCGCTAACAGCAGAAGCCAGGCTGCTTGCTGTAGCGCGTACAGTCCCGGGAAGCACCAGCGCGGAACCAGCCATCCCCCCACCGCTCATTCCGCCCATCCCCGCGGGTCCCTGCGTCATTCCCCTCATTCCCCCCGTTCCCTGCGCCATTCCGCCAATCCCCGAGGTCCCTTGCGCCATTCCCCCGATCCCAGCCGTTCCTTGCGCCAACCCGCCTGGCATGCCCCTAGGAACGATTCCCCCCGCCCCCGTCCATCCAGTACCGGCGGAAAACCCCCGTAAGCCTTCCCCACCCGTGGTCTGCCCCCCTGCGCCTTGCCCCGCAATTCCCGCTCCGCCGCCGCTTGCGCCAGTTGCTGCGGCGCCACCTGCGGCGGAAGTTGCGGAAGAGGCTGCGGTTCCGGCGGTTGCGGGGCTGATGGGCGCGAAGAACGGTCTTAGCGGAGGGTATACCCCCGCCTGGGGGAAAGCGGAGGCGGAAGAGGGGGAAGCAGCCCATGCGGGGGACATAAAGCGCGGAAGGGACGCAGGGACCCATGGCGCACCAGGCGGAACGGTAAACAGGGGGATATTGTGGCCTGGATACGACAAGGCTGGAGTTCCCAAGGGCCTGGATCCAACAGGGTTGAATTGGTTAAATTGCGTTGACCCAGGTGCGACGGTTGCTCCTGGCGCTGCTGGAGAAGCTTGCGCTGACGTGGATGGTGCTGACGTTGGTGCTGCTGACGTGGGTGCTGCTGACGTGGCTTGACCCGTGGATGAACCCATAGGCGTCGGCGGCCGAGGGGCGCCTTGGTTGTTATCCATGCCGACCGCGACCGACGCGATGGCGAATTGAGACTACAAAAACTGAAATTCCTTATGGTTGTACGTATATTGGCGATAGATTTCGATAAACTACGATTTCCATCCTATCAAACCCTAAAACAAAGTGCAGAATCCCTCTGACTGACACCTTTGGACCGCCCTAACCTTCGCCACTAGAATCTATCACGAAAGCGATGAATGAGCACCTAAAGCGCTTGGAACTGCTACGTCACACTGGAAACGACCAAACCGAAACTGGAAATCTCAAGGAGCTTGGGCAACGCGAGCCTCCTAGACTGGCGGATGCGCAATGGTCCCCTCTGCCCTGTCTCTGACCGATCTTGAAGCTAACGTACCAGTCGGAACCGTTCACTAGGAAGGAATATGTACGAGGTGCGAGCTTTTATCCATTCAAACTCTCGAACTTACACTAATCAGATGCGCCAAATATATAATATGATCAGTTTAGACTGATTGTGTATTTCACGTGAATATATATATATATTGGTAGGTGTAAGTGAATTATACAACGTACAACGCAAAAACACCGTCGGTCATAACCGGTGCTAGAGGGCCTAGGTACAAACAATCATACCGTACCCTCGCGGATCTCTCTACGGTGGTTTATATATCAGATGCCTAAAAATTGCAGTTTGCCCGCTTCAAATTCCAATTGCATTGTTGTCACAATTCAGCTCCGTCAGAATCAGAGGGGAGCAGTTTTGCCACTTCTGCTGTTTCAGGCTCGTTCCAGATGTGTCCTTCCTTGTACGTCTGACACCACTCTTGATTGGAGAAACCTTCTGGCGAGATCCGAATGCCCTCTTGACTGCACCCGCCCTCTTGATCTGAATGCGACGGTGAAGATCGGTTCCAGTAGAAATGGCAGGTGCAGAAATGTGCGACTAACTGCTCCAAGCTTGTCAAGGGTCGGTGAAATAAGTATCGGTACTTCGCCATCAGTAGCTCTTTCTCTTCGAATGAAAACACCCAGATCTCCACTGGGAAGACTTCCCAAAGTTTGTAAACCAGCAACGTCTTCTAGTTGCAAAGATAGTTCTTGTGTTTCCTCGTCAAATTCTCTTGACTTTGTAGATAAAGCTCTCTGAAGAACCGCAGCCTCTGTTTCCTTTCTCCACAATACGTCCAGAATCTTGGTAGAAGAAATAACTTCCGCTTCAGTAGCCATAGTTACGAAGGCCAAATCTGGATTATCCCCCGTCGTATATTTCCTTGCTGAAAAACTTTGTTCTGCCTTGCTTCTCGTAGGTGTATGACGCTGCCTTGATTGCCGTTGAATGACTGAGAAAACTGATAATCTAAAAACATTTCGTCGAGTAATTTCCTTTAATCTGTACTTCCAGCCTTGAAAAACCCCGGCATTAAACTTCTGATGCTTTCTTGATGGTCGCTCAGCAGTCTCTTTCCTTGACCTTCTGCGTAGTTTATTAGCTGAAAAACAGGATTGTCAGAATATTATCTTATTGTTCTAGCCTGTAGTGGGGTGCTCTATAGCGAGTACAACCCTTTTTGGGTTTGCTATTTGTATCCTCATTCTTGCTAGTTCAATCCTCTCTTTCTTTCTTCTACTTTTGACATGCTATCAGAGCAGGTCGATCCCCTTGGATCGATCCTGTGGGTGTGTCCCCACCTTGCTTCCGCTGCTACTTTTTCATCCCGCCGTGCGCCCCGAGGCGCGCGGCGGTTTTCTGCCCGCCGTGCGCCCCGAGGCGCGCGGCGGTTCATTGCCCGCTGTGCGCCCCGGGGCGCGCGGCGGGCTTCTCCTCTACGTCGCGGCCCCGCCCCGGCCCGTCGCCGCCCGTGCGCCTGCCCGGCTCGGCCCCGCCCTTCATCGCGGCCCCGCCCCGGCCCGTCGCCGCCCGTGCGCCTGCCCGGCTTGGCCCCGCCCTACCTGTCGCGGTCCCGCCCCTCCGTCGCGGCCCCGCCCCGACCGTCGCGGCCCCGCCCCTCGTCGCGGCCCCGCCCCTGCGTCGCGGCCCCGCCCCTCGAAGCGGCCCCGCCCTACGTCGCGGCCCCGCCCCGGACCCTATGCGGCCCCGCCCTACCTTCGCGGCCCCGACCTGTCGCGGCCCCACCCTACGTCGCGGTCCCACCCCGACCGTCGCGGCCCCGCCCCGCTCGTCGCGGCCCCGCCCCTTGTCGCGGCAAGCGGCCCCCTCAGGTCGCCACGACGGACGACGGGAAATGGGGGAAGGGGAGAAGGGGGGGGGGGCCCACCACGGACCTGAGGGGAGGGCGGGGCCGCGACAAGGGGCGGGGCCGCGACGAGCGGGGCGGGGCCGCGACGGAGGGGCGGGACCGCGACAGGTAGGGCGGGGCCAAGCCGGGCAGGCGCACGGGCGGCGACGGGCCAGGGCGGGGCCGCGACGTAGAGGAGAAGCCCGCCGCGCGCCCCGGGGCGCACAGCGGGCAATGAACCGCCGCGCGCCTCGGGGCGCACGGCGGGCAGAAAACCGCCGCGCGCCTCGGGGCGCACGGCGGGATGAAAAAGTAGCAGCGGAAGCAAGGTGGGGACACACCCACAGGATCGATCCAAGGGGATCGACCTGCTCTGATAGCATGTCAAAGTTTAGAAGAAAGAAAGAGGATTGAACTAGCAAAAATGAGGATACAAATAGCAAACCCTAGAAGGGTTGTACTCGCTATAGAGCACCCCACTACAGGCTAGAACAATAAGATAATATTCTGACATGACACACCCCCATAGGCAAAGTGGGGGAGAACAAGAGGTCACAAGACAAGTCAAGCAAAGCACAGTAAGCTCAGGGTGGATCACAACGTCACCACACAGTCCGAGCACAAGCTCAAGGCCACAAGGCCAGTTCGCATGCAAGATCATATATAAAGGCAAACAAACAAGTGCAGGTATAGATAGATCACAGTACAAGAAGGTCAACAAGTGAGCAAGTGAGGCCAAGTAGGCACAAGACCTAACATCGTACGGAAGCGCTGATGATCACAAGGCGGAAGTGATTGGTAAAGATATCAGCAGTGTTGGCCTGAGAGGCCACGTAAGCAAGGCGCAGCTGACCACGCTGCTGCAGCTCACGAGCAAGGAAGTAGCGAAGAGCAATGTGCTTCGTTCTGTGCTCTAGTCTGTGCTCCCGACACAAGGCCAGCATGGCCTTGTTGTCTGCGTACAGAACTGGAGGAGAACGCGGCGGCTCTCCTAGGTCAGTCAGCAGGTAGGTGAGCCAGCGTAGCTCCTGTGCAGCCATGGCTCCCGCGTAGATCTCAGCCTTACAGCTAGAGCCGAGAACAGAAGACGAGCGGGTAGATCGCCACGAAACAGAGCCGGAACCAAGGCTGAAGGTGTAACCCTGTGACGACCGCTACGTAGCCTGGTCGTCAGCCCAAGAAGCGTCTACGTGACCTGTGAGGACTACTGAACGCCGCCCTCCAAGCACTAGCCCCATGCCCGACGTACTGCACAAGTAGCGCAACACCCTCTTCGCTGCCGCCATGTGTTCTGGTCGGTGTCTCCCAGGAGCAACATAGCGTGCCAAGATGCTGAGAGGGTATGCAAGGTCAGGTCGAGTGCAGGTCATCAGGTACATGAGGCAGCTAACAACCTCTGGGTACGGGCCACTCGACTCTACGGACTCATCCGAAAGTAGAGCTCAGAGCGAGTGGCGAGTAGACAGAGGAGTGGCCTGAGGCGAGGAGTACGTGAAGTCGAAGCGCTGAAGGACCTGCTGCACCATGTGTGACTGATTCAGGGTAATGGTGCGCTGTGCTCTGTCCCGGATGATCTGCAAGCCAAGGTAGCTGCGCAGTTCACCCAGGTTTATGCACGTGTGTCTCTTATACAGCTCGGACTTCACGTGGGCGAGTCCAGCAGTGTCACCTGTAGCAAAGACCAAGTCGTCGACGTACACGAGGATGTAGAACGGCGGCAAAGAGGTGTCGGTGCGCAAAAACAGCGACGAGTCGGCAGTAGAAGGAGCAAACCTAAGAGCCGCCAGAGTAGTCCTCAGTGTGTCGTGCCACTCACGGGGCGCCTGGCGGAGACCGTAGACTGGCCGCCGGAGGCTCCACTGGGTACCAGGAGGAAACGACCCAGTGAAGCCAGGTGGGCGGCGCAGCCAGATCTCCTCGTGCAGGCTGCCCTGCAAGAAAGCTGTGCTGAAGTCAAGAGAGTGAAGCTCGTAGTCGCGCTGAGCGGCTATGTGCAGCAGCACCCGAAGAGTGGTCATCTTTGGGGTGGGAGAGAAGGTCTGAAAGTAGTCAACTCCCTGCCGCTGACTGAAGCCACGAGCAACGTAATGCGCCTTGAAGACAAGCGGAGAACCCGGCGGCCGCTTCACCCTGAAAATCCACATGCCACTGACGATGTTCGCCCCAGGTGGGGGAACCTCGTCGACGTAGGTGCCTGTGGACTTCCAGGAAGCCATCTCTGCGTCCATGGCTGACTGCCACACTGAGGAGTAGGGACCCTCGATTGCCTCAGCGTACGATCGAAGAGTTGGGATGTCTGGTGCATCCGGGTCTCCCTCAGGGTCAATCAGTGTGGACACGAGATAAGGCAAAGCAGCAACAAAGCACTGGAACTCCTCCTGCCTGTCCTCAAAGACGTCCGTGCTAAGAGCACACTCACGCTCGATGGACGGAGGACAGACAGACTCAGACTCAACAACAAGACTAGCGGCGTAGTCTAGACGACAGCGAGCAGCAAAGTCAAC